TTGCCCCACAAGAGGGTGTCCTACAAGAGTGTCGCACAAGAGTGTCCCACAAGAGCGCCCCGCAACAGTGTCCCACAGGAGTGTCCTGCAAGTGACCCACAGAGTGTCCCACAATAGTGTCCTACAAGAGTGTCCCACAAGAGTTTCCTACAAGAGTGTCCTACAAGAGTGTCCCACAAGAGTGACCTGCAAGTGACCCACAAGAGTGTCCCACAAGAGTGTCCCAGAAGAGTGTCCCACAAGAGTGTTGTATAAGAGTGTCCCACAAGAGTGTTCTACAAGAGTGTCCCACAAGAGTTTCCTACAAGAGTGTCGTGTAAGAGTGACCCACAAGAGTGTCCCACAAGAGTGTCCCACAGGAGTGCCCCGCAAGAGTGTCCTGTAAGAGTGTTCCACAAGAGTGTCCTACAAGAGTGACCCACAGGAGTATCCTACGAGAGTGTCCCACAAGAGTGTCCTACAAGAGTGTCATTTGGACATATGTATATAGCTTTTCGATCGTGTTTGCATTCGGGTTCGTGGGCTCCATCTTGTTCTTTTCTTCGCACGTTTTACGTTAATCGTTTGCAACTTTTGTGACAGCCTGTGCCATTCTTCACCTGGCTGGCCTGCAGTATGTGGCAGATTATACCTGTTAACACTTGTTAGCCAGTTTCACTTGCGTCACCTTCACCACACTCCGCTTTGCGCGGCTAAGGTCCTTCTCGAGTTTCGCTGACCTCTCACAGCCATCCATCACGCTGTGTGGGACAAAGCTCAAACATGAATTGGAGAAAGCACTGTTTCACCCAAATTGTTTACAATTGAAAGCACGTTCTGTCGTGACTCAAGGTCCGAAGTTCCGCGGAGTGAGCGAAGGCGGGACAAATTGCTTGAGAAACGACAGTCGCTTTGAGCGGCCACCCAGGCTTTTGCTGGCTTGTGCACCTTGACAATTTGGGAGATGGAGGGCCGTTGTGACCAAGGCGTGCGGTCGAAGACAACCTTCTCAAAGATATAAGAATTACCCAAGTGATAATGATGGGAGGAAGCTTGGGGCCAATTGAGTCTTTGTGGGCTGGTGAGCTAGGCAGCTCTACGATGTTTGTGGTGCACGACCTCAAGAGTTGTATGTAGGAACGTATATGCCGGCACATAGATCAGCCAGCGAATCCAAGGTGATGGCACTTGCAGCTTGCGCCGCACTGGCTTTGCGCAAATGACCGCAGAAAGACTAACCAAGCAGGTGAGGCCCTGACCCACAAATCAAAGAACCAGTGAGGACGACATTTCATACATCAAAACCTTACTTGTGTGGCTCAAGATTGAATTCAATCCTCCCTCCATTGGTGCTTTAAATTGCAAACCAGTATCCCAATACTGGCCCAACACAAATACCGTGCATTAGTACAAAGCTTCGTCGCTGACCACTGGAAAAGTGCCCTGCCGAATGTGGAAGATGAATGCGAATTGAAAGAGATTTTCTTGTGTGGCAGGTTTGTACTCTGGTGGATGTCAGAGCAGGCTACAACCATCTACAACCTTACTGTATTTGGAACATAACACTGAAACCGTGGCAGTTTTAAGAAGATAAGGTTGTGTCTAGTCTAGTGAATCATGATTCAGACTTCAGCCTTGGGCTCCTAGTGTATACTAGTGATAGTGTATACAGTGCAAGAGTGATTACTGAATTCACTGCCCATGCCTGGCCGCCTGCAGTTGTTCTCACTTGGAACATTTGGGCATTTGAGACCTCACTGAGCTCATCGCTCAGAGAGAGTGGCTGCGGCCGTCTTTGCATCTTTTCGCGCGCCCGTTGTGTCCTTTCGCCCACCGTTGTTTGGGTACAAGGTACACGAGCTGTGCCCATCTTCACCATGGGGTCGATCCGGTGACTCACTCCCCATGGTTTGCCGAAATGCGTTTGGAGAAGGCCTGAGAACTCCAACCAAAAGAGAAATGAATATAAGGCCAAGTTTCAAGTTGCTATTTTGGTATGTTAACACTGTTATCCGTTCTTTCTTTTCATCCGCGAACACGTTTCGGCCTCAGAGCTGTCGGCACGCGAAGACGCGAGGTAGTGGGGCGGAAAGTGAAGCGGAACACCGAATGAAAGGCTCCGAAAAAGTTGGAGCCGGGGCTTGGAACGGCCTGAGATACATTTATTTGGCCTTCTGTACCCTTCACGTAACATTTCCTGGAAGTTGTTCTCATTTAGGCAACAAATGCGTACTTTGGATATGGTCGGCATGGTCGGTATGGTCTACCTCAACAGGTTCCTCTCCCTCCTCATTTGCAGTACCCTCACCCTCCACCATTTTAATTCTGAAAATTGTCCCATCCGTTCTTTGAGTGAAGTGAATAAAGCACGGAGCGATCGGACGCTACTAGGGGCTCCTCTCCGTACTACGAGCAAGAACGCTACTAGGAACAAAGGGCATCGCTACGAACGGAGCAAGAATACTACCAACTCCCTTGCCCTTGAAGCTCTTGAAGCCCTAAACCGAGGAAGAGCTGACAGCCCCGATGTGCCATCCGCAGCACAGCCCCGACACGACAGGGCCCCTGCCATCCGCCATGTTTCAGCAGCCCAAGTGGTGCCGAAGACGGCATCTCTATCTACATCGTGGATTGAGGCTCTCTATAGCTCTTTGTATGCCCATTTTGTGTCCTGGAGGATCAAGGGTGGTTCGGGGACGATTCATTTATATAGGTCGAGTCAGAAGGGAGCAGGAACACTCAAAGGGCGGGCGACTGGGTTTGAGAGGACAAAGGAAGGCTTTAAACTGCAAACCCCTCTTCCACACCGTAAGAATCCGCTCTGTGGCGCGAAACTAGTTATGTTTGTCCTCGGCGAAATCGGCTTGGGAGCTTGTTCTGGGATGGGGGGTCGCTTGCATCATCAGAATTCAAAAAACGTGGATTGGAGTTGCTGAGCGAACACTGGTAGCAGGGCATTATACTGATTATACTTGGTGTACGGACAGTGCACTCTTCCAAAGTGCTTGATTCTCCTTCATGTCTTTGTTTAATCTTCAAGTGAAGCTGATTTTTTAAGCTTTAACTCCAGCACTACAAATAAGAATGCAGTCATTGTAGTCGTTGGCTAATGATCTTTTGACAATCTGGCGACGCCACACAGCTACCTTATGCTACCATCCACATGAGAGGCTATGGAGCCTCTCTTGTTTCTTGTCAGAGTGGTTGGATGGTGGAGGCAGGTTTCACGAATTCAAAGTGTTTGTTTTGCTGGCGGATTCGCGGATTCACATAGAGGCACCCCGGAGAGGACGATTTGGAGGTACCCCCCCGCTCAGCAAGTAATGTTGCATACCCAGCCAGACGTCACTGTTGTATGAAGACTGTGAGGGGAGCCCGCTGGAAGCAGAATTCGCCAAAGCGTTGCGGTTGTTTACACCTCGGCTGATCTCATGCCACAATTTTCAGACATATGACCCGCTGACGGAATGGGAGTCCTGAGAACCAGTCTGAAGGTGAAATGCCACATGCGACAAAATATACTCCAAAGGCTGTTAGGGCGTTGGCTTTGTTTTCACAAGAACTGGCTTTGCTCAGAATGTGGATTTGAAGAACTGAGAGCTCTGGCACTCGACGCTCGCTCCGCCCGCGATGGATTTTCAAGGCCCCACCTGGCACTGGAACCGTGTGGGTGACTTGCAAGCTGCCTTTCTGCGGTGTTGCGATCGGGAAAAATGCCGAGTAAGCCAAGTATGACCGATTTTGGAAGTGGTTCGGTTTTCTTGGACTCGGTTGGCCACCACACTGCAGATTGTTTTGACTTTGTCAATTTGTTGGCCGATTTTCAAGCAGCAGAAATTCGCTGTGACCGTGTGGGTCGCTGTACAGTCCAATGGCGCCACTTGTTTTTTGGAGCTCAAAAGGACTGGTTTGGGCTCAGAAGGAGTTTCCGAGTGAATCTCCAGTGACACTCGAGTGAGAATTCAAACAGATTTGACCAGAGTCATCAAAGCTTAGACCAGTCCGAGAAGCAGGATGCTGCTTGATGGAACACCTGTGCAGTTTGGAGCTGCTATCCTGCCGACCCCGACCATTTGTTTCTATATGTTTCTATGTTTTTCATTCCTTACATCTGACAGAGAATGCTGTATGATACTGCATACACGTGGCTTTCAGTTCCACTTCCAGTTCAGCTTCCATGAACCACTTTGACCCACTTCAGCGACTGGGAAGCACCTTGAAACACTGAGGGTTGCAACCGCAGGTTGGAAACGGTTCGGGTGAACTATCAAGCCACGGAATCACTACTCTAAGGCCTTTGCATGATCTTTTGAGGCCCTTTCGGGGGCTTAGCGTTCCCCTCGCAGGTGTTCCTTGTTTCAGGTCTGTGCTGTGAGGACAGCTCTAAGGCCCAGGCAGCGTGGAAATCTCAGTCAGGTCGAGCTAGGTTCACACGAGAATCAGAACTCATAAGAGTTGGACCGGAAACACCGGAAACAAAAAAAATGCATCAGAACGCAATCTCTCCAAACACATAAGAACTTAACTCTGTTAGAGGTGCGACATGTAGTTGCAAAAGTCGAACTTGCAGTCCACCCAGTCATATGTGTTCTTTGTCCACAAGGGCGGTTTCCCCCCTTTGGGTCCATTTTGATCCATTCAGTCTGGGAGAATCCTACGATACGCTGGGAGGGTGATCTCAAGATGTGTCAACAAGAAATATATTGCAAAGCTCTTCGCTGCGAAACGTCGATTGTTTGGTTTGATTACAAGGAAAGTTGTGAGAAGAGCCCTGTGAAAAACGAGTTGCGGTTGGATGTTTAGGCCTGAAGGAGTTAGCCGGACTGAGTTTAGGAGAGGCTCAGTTAGGAGCAAATGTGGTCGCACAGCAGCCCCGCAAGCCGTGAAGGTAAAATGAATGTGGCCAAGTCCCAAAGGGAACCACCATTGACTTTAGTGATAACCAAGCTCGCTGCTCAGCTGAACAAGCGACGACTTTGGAGGCTGCTCAAGTGAGCGACTCCTGGCTGGTGAACCAGCTCGGCCTTTGAGCTTAGTGGCAACGGCGACGTTCCAAACTGCTGCATGGCCCAAAAGATCAGAGCCAAATGCCACATGCATTGTCAGGGCTTGGGCTAATACGGGAGCCAAGATATGGGCATGTAAGGTGCCATGTGGGGAAGCATATTTGAAGCGGGTTTGCACAGTCCACGTCTTAATTGAGGTGCAAGCGCGACCCTTTGCCACGACCTTATCCTCACGCCGATGGATGCCGCTTGGTGGAGATGACATGTGGAGAGCCGCGAGAAGGATGCAGCTGTGGAAAGGTTTTGCAAGGACAGAAGAATATTCAGGAACTCGAGGCCAAAGTGTTTCCTATCATGCGAACATAAGCTACAGAAGCTGCGGAAGCTATCTTTGCTGAAAAGGCTTGCACTTGAGTTGTGCTTCAGATCGAATCCTTGCGTTGTTTCTTCTCTTAGGTGGTAAAGCAGCGAATGCAGCTGGGCATCTACCGGAACGTAGGCCCGGCTATGTCAGCTTTTGAAGCAGATGTTGTGTTGGTGCCGTGCTGTCCTCTGGGAAAGGCCTACTGTGCTTGTTACTTCAAAACGCGTATTGCTCAACAAACTAGTTCACTGAATATTCTCCAACTTCGCGTGCTATGCAGTTGCTTAGCCAACAGAGCACGAGTCGGACTTTCAGTATTCCTTCTTCAGTACACGACGTTCGGAATAGTTTTGCCTTTTGCACAATTGCACGCGTCCTTTTTCCCGAGAGCGTCTGCGAAGGGTTCTTCGTAAAAAAAACATCTGCAGAACTACGTCTCATCTACATCTTCACATCTTCACCTCTGCACATCCACATTCTCACCTATGTCTCTGCTCATCTTCACATCTACATTCACAACTGCACATCTACATCTCTGCACATCTTCACATCCTCACATCGACATCTCTGCTCATCTTCATCTTCACACATCTACATCTCTGCTCATGTTCACATCTGCACATCTACATCTCTGCTCATCTTCACATCCTCACATCTACATCTCACATCTTTACCTCTCATCTACATCTCACATCTTCACCTCTCGCTCTTCTTGACTTTCTCTCTTAAGGCCGGGGGCAGTGCCGCCGGACTGCCACGAAACGCAACCCTCTGTGGAGATCCTGCGTGTCGGATGCGCGAAATGCAGGCGAGAGTGCGATTTGTCCCGGTCCGTCGCAACCCTCTGTGGAGATCGTGCGTGTCGAGTGCGCGAAATGCAGGCGAGAGTGCGATTTGTCCCGGTCCGGGACAACCCTGAACGGGGAT